CTTAGAAGAACAACTTGTCTTTACATTCTCTCTCTCTCTCTCTCTCTCTCTCTCTCTCTTTCTCTCTCTCTCTATACACATATATATCTATACGATTGGTATTTTTCTTCTGTCGACAGCTTCACGTTTCCAGGCATTTTGGAAAAAAAACAACCATGGATTTATATAGCATTTATAGATACCCACTGTGCTGTCTACTTTCAGGAACAGTTGGTTTTCAAAATGAATTGGCAACCAGGCATATCACAGTAGTGTTTGGTGTTATTTTCCATGGTATTAGAAATTCTTCGCTTTCGAAAAGAGAGTAAAAAATCATCATGGCCAGAATGAGTTTTGACAACTCTTTAAATACCATTACCCCCATAAAAGAAAATGATGTGGTTTGAATCATTTAGTAGTGCTTAAATGCCACATTTTGAGGCATTTATTTTATGGCTTTCCTGAATACCTAAGCCAAAAAAAAAAGCTTTCTAGAATCTTAACAACTTAAGTGTCTACATTCCTAGGTAAACAAGAAATTGTCTTCTTGTTTGGATCAGAGTTGCCATGACAACTACATAAGCTTGGGCTGCTAAATTCAAATAACAAGGTCTAGTCCTTAGCTTTTCAGTATTTTCAAAGACATGATATTGGGTTGGGCTTCTCTGACTGAATTAAGGAGTGAAAAGTATATTTTCATGTGGCTCCACCAGTGATATACCTTACAATTAGACTAGGTCATAATATGATTCCTCTTCATTCATTCTTTCAACACAGTGATCTTCTTTTCATCTCTCAGGGATTTGTATTCTCCATTATTTTTTATTTCTTTAAATTATGTTTTCATTAAGTAGTGGCACAAAAGAGTTACTGTTCAAAAAAAGTCAGGTTAACATCTTGACTGATGTCACCATTTCCATTATGCTCTCCCATTCCTCCCCACCCATCCCCTCTCAAATTTCTTACTTTGGTGAACACACATTGAATATTATGTCCCCCTTCTTGTCTTCATTTGTTCACTCTTTTACCCCTTGCCTCTGCCCCTTCAGCCTTCAAGTTGGAGGTTCCTGATATTTACCTTGTCAGATTGAGTTAATTTTGCTAAGAAATTACCTCATTTGAATTCTTACCTGTAAATACCATATTCAGTTAATACATTTGTGTACACTTCCATACAACTTCATAGGTGTTTACTTGTACATGTATAAATTAATTATGGCATCCACACAGGAAAGAAAACATGCATCCTCTATTTCTCTGGTCCTGAGTTCATTTAACATATGTGTGTGTGTGTGTGTGTGTGTGTGTGTGTGTGTGTGTGTAATTTTCTTGATCATTTGTTTATTGAGGGGCAGCTAGACTCTATACTGTGGCTGTAGTACCTAGTGCAACAATAAACATGGGATTTTTCTTGTTGTTGTTGTTGTTGCTTTGTGGACTTTTTTTATAAAGCAAGACACTGCACTTTATAAGCAAGTGCTTTGCTTGCTATATCCTAGCCAGAACATGTTGGTGTTTTTTTCTTTAGCTGCTCTATGATACAATGATATTCTTTTTTTTATTTTTTTCTGTGCTGATACTGGGGCCTGAACTCATGACCTAGCATCTGTCACTGAGCTTTTTTGCTCACAGCTAGCTAGCACTCTGTTACTGGAGCCATAACTCCACTTCCAGCTTTTTTTTTTTTTTTGGTGAAAATAATAGGAGATAAGAGTCTCAGACTTTCCTGGCCTGGCTGTCTTTGAGCTATGATTCTCAGAAGTAACGCTGTGGCTCAAGTGGGAGAGTTCTATCCTTGAGCAAAGAAAGCTCAGGGACAGTGCCCAGGCCCTGAGTTCAAGCCCCACAGACACCACTACTAACAACAAAAACACTATCTGAACCATGATTCTCAGATCTCAGCCTCCTTAGTAGCTAGGATGAACCAATGGCATCTGACAAAATGAGATTTTTATTCTTTATGATAACTTCAAACTATTTCTTTACTAATTATAAAGATTCAGGGGTTAAAGAAAATAAAATAATTTATGTGTTAATTTAAAAATGATCCTGTACTCTATCTTGAATATTTACCATTTTATGGGTTACTAATTATATTAGAATTTGAAAAGTATCATAGGGTCTGTTAGCTATTTTGCCAAAAGATAGTTTCATTGACCTCAGAATTATAGAATTCTACAATAATACTTGCAATAAGGAAGAAAAATTTTCATTGTTTATTGAAGTTTCTTGAGCATTTTCTTCAAGGCAGTCCTTCCATACCACTCATTAAACACTAAACAAATTATGTTTATTTGTTATTTAGGCCTAATGATTGCTGGCAAGTTTCACAGGCATCAATTTCAGTTCGCTACTTAACCTATATTACCAGAATTGAATGAAAGTTGTTTGTCATGTTGGTATAATTTGATGTTGGTATAATTTGGGGAGAGGAAGGGAAAAAAATTGTTCAAATAGGGATTCAGGCTGACCCATTGTAACAATGAGATGTTCGATAAACGAACTTTACAACTTTGGCGGCAGGAGTGGGGAGGGGAGATGGGAAGGGATGTGAAGGGGAAACAAAGAAGGAGGCAACAATGCTTGATAAGAAATGTACTCATTACCTTGCTCATATAATTGTAACCCCTCTGTACGGTAGTTCCACAATTAAAAAATTGTTTTATTCAGTGTTGCTTAACCTGACTTTCAAGTAAGTGAAAGTCGTATTTTTAATTAGGATTATTTTGGTGGACAATATACTTAGATGACTTCGCAATGAAAGAGATTGAATAATAACAGTAGTAGGTCCCACTTAGATGAAATTGAGCAGAGTGTTTGTCTTTCCGTTCTAGACTGCGTTATTTGACTTAATTCTATACAGGTTTTCTGCATGATTACAAAATAGACGTCACAGTTCCACGTCTCATACATGTACACCTCGGGAATCAGGGGAAACATTTCTTTTTTACCAAAGCCCTCAGAATCAAGCCAATTGATTCTTTTTCGATCTCTAGCGTACGAGATCATAACCACTGTGGCTGGTAGAATTGCATGTGCAAATGGCTTGAATCAGTGTCAAGGAAATTGTCACTTCTGAGTTTCAGTGGTGAAGCACAGGACAAGAAAGAGGACTGACACATATGGCAACACAGCCACAATACTTTCTGACCTAATAGAGTAGAAGCCATTAGGATTGTGTTCTGGCAAGGAGCACTAGAAACTGATCAGTATGGCCATCTTCCCTTGGGCTGTGGAGAGTCAGATCCATCTTCCCAGATCCTCTTCCCTCCTGAGCACATTCCGGTTCTTTCATTCTGTTGTCATAGGTCATACACAGAATTTGTATATAACAACCAAAGTAAAAGAAGAAATTAACTGGAATCTTTATTAAAGAAGAAAAAAGAGCTACTTATTTCTAATATTTACTTGTTCTCAACTATACTGAAGTTTTTCTCTCTTCAGTCATGATGCAAAATTCCTTTAGAATACAGTTAGAATTTTCTTTTCCTTTTGTAATTTATATATGTATCTAGCTATCTGTCTGTCTGTCTATCCATCTATCTCTTAGATTTTTTCCTTTTACAATTCATATATAGTAATTTATATATGTATCTAGCTATCTGTCTGTCTGTCTAATCATCTATCTCTTAGATTTTTTCCTTTTACAATTCATATATATACATATATATTTATATCAGAGATGTATATAGATAATTATCACTTCCTTCCTTCCTTTCTTTCTTTCTTTCTTTCTCCCTTTCTTTCTCTCTTTCTTTCTCTCTTTCTTTCTTTCTTTCTTTCTTAGATCTACCTAGCTACCTATCTAAGGAGGAAGTTATGTATGTATATATGTATCATCTATCCATCTATCCATCTATCTATCATCTATCTGTCCATCTTTCTATCTACTTTTCCATGTCTCTCTCAATCTCTCTGTCTGTCTTTCTGTCTATCTACTTCAGCTTGAAGACTTTTGAAATAAGCATGCTATGGGACACAGCATGCTTATTTCAAAAACATCCAAGAATACTTGCATTTTATTCAGTGAACACTTAGATTAACACTTAGCTAATAAATATATTAGATAATATTCAAATTCCAAAGTTTGTCATTTAAATCATAAGCCTTGTAGTCAAAAAATCTTTTTTCTTGTAGCTACCTGACTGTCCTGTGATATGTTCTATTTACTGACTTCTCAAATTATTTAGCACAAATGCATTGTATGGTAAAAAAAAAAAAAATTGCAATCAGAATTAGCTAGGAATTAGATGAGTTGTCTGAGTTTTCTTCGGAAAAAATTCCCTTTCAAAGCACTTAATTCTCTTCATCGAATGGGAAACATAAAGAAAAATGAAAGCTTTGTGAAAGGCACCATGTTGTTACCAATAATGAAAAGTTGTTATTCAGATATTATCTGAAAAAAAAGATAAAAGATATAGTCTGAATTTCTGGGGCCATTAACCAAAGGCAGGCTGTGGTATAATTTTAAAGAATGGAAATTAGAATTGTCTATCAGTCAAGTAATTATAGCTCAGATCTACAGAATATATTTCTAAAAGAAATATTTTAGTCTTGGCAGCAATTAGGGCTCTATGATTACTGCAGTAAAAGCGTATGTCTTGTATACAAAATACACATTTTCATCTAAGTTTTGTATGCCTAACAGTTCCTTAAAAGGTATCAATTATATATATGTATGTGTGTGTGTGTATATATATATATATATATATATATATGTATACATATATATAATATATATATATATATATCATTTGTCTAGTTTGAACATTACTATCACATCTAATTTCTAGGATTAAAAAAATTATCTTTCTTTTAAAAAATGATTTTGACTTTCATATGTTGATATACCAAAGAGGTTTCAATTCGATATTTCCACATATAAACATGGTACATGCTAAATACCTTTTGCTAAGTAGTCCAGTCTGGCCTTGAACTGACAGTCCTCTGACCTCAGCCTCTTGAGTGCCAGCACGAACCACTTTTCTGTTATTAATGTGCCTCATTCTCTATGATTGCAGGAGGACACAGATCACAATTACTACTTATCTCGGATATATGGTCCATCAGATTCTGCCAGCCGGGACTTGTGGGTGAACATTGACCAAATGGAAAAAGACAAAGTGAAGATTCATGGAATCCTGTCCAACACTCACCGCCAGGCTGCGGTAAGTCTTCCTTTCACATTTACGATCTCTTCTTTCCCACTAAGAGAAAATTGTTGAGTTACTGTCATATAACCTTGTCTGTGTGATCACTTTCCAAGTATATTCATCTTTGTAAGTACATTAACAAACACACATAAGATATCAAAGAAAACGCGAACTGTTTTGATAAACCACTATTAATGGAACCAATTTCTCAGTGTGTTCGATGAGTCATGTTTTACATTCAAAGTTGAGATTCATCTTGCACCACTCTCAGTTTCGTAATCTGTGATTTTACAAAACGTTTTAAAAGATTACTTGACCTTACTATCTCCCATGTGATATGGGTTTATTTCCCTCGACCTTGGAAGAGATTTAACCAAATTCACTTGGTGATTCAAACAGCATATATAGAACTAATTGTGAGCTTTGGTAAAGAAACTTAACTTCTAGGGAAAGAATAAAAATCTACAAGACATCAAAGTGATATTTTAAGTGTGGGTCATTTATTTATTTATTTATTTATTTATTTATTTTTTAAATTTTATTTTATTTTATTTGAGAACATACTGTACAGAAGGGTTACCATTACATGGGCAGGATAATGCATACATTTCTTACCAAGCATTGCAGCCTCCTCCTTTGTTTACCCTTCACCTCCCTTCCCAGCCTCTCCCCTCCCCCCCACCCAATCATACCCCCCCACACACACCGACATTGTAAAGCTGGTTTTGACATGACATTTTGTACTTCTCATTGTTGCAACAGGTCCACCTGAATCCTTAAACAACTTGTTTGTCCCGGTCTCCTCCACATGTTATACTGACATCACATATAGTGAAAGCGGGGGTTACACTGTGGGGGAGGGACATACAAAACAACAAAGAAATAATCTTATAAATGCGTTAGAAACACATGCATGAAAGAAACAAAAACATTAAAATACATATTTGAGGGTTCGTTTTCCTAACATCACATTCTCTGACTTTTTCCGCTTGACTCATACCTATACTAGATATTGCAAATAAGGGAAACCATGGGACCTGTTTCTTTGGGCCTGGCTTACTTCACTTAATATAATTTTTTCCAAGCCTTTCCATTTCCTAACAAATGAGGAAATGTTATTCTTTCTGATGGAGGCATAGAATTCCATTGTGTATATATACCACATTTTCTTGATCCATTCATCTACTGAGGGGCATCTGGGTTGGTTCCATATCTTAGCTATGGTAAATAATACTGCAATAAACATAGTTGTGCTGGTAGCTTTAGTGTGGTCTTGTTTGTAAACATTTGGGTAAATGCCCAAAAGTGGGATTGCTGGGTCATAGGGGAGTTCTATGTGAAGTCTTTTGAGGAACCTCCATACTGCTTTCCAAAGTGGTTGAACAAGTTTACATTCCCACCAACAATGAAGTAAGGTTCCTTTCTGTCCACATCCCCTTCAGCATCTGTTGTTAGAGTTCTTGATTTTTGCTGTTCTAACTGGAGTGAGGTGATATCTCAATGTTGTTTTGATTTGCATTTCTTTTTTTTTTTTTTAATTTTATTTTATTTTATTTGAGAACATACTGTACAGAGGGGTTACAATTACATGGTCAGGATAATGCATACATTTCTTACCAAGCATTGCAGCCTCCTCCTTTGTTTACCCTTCACCTCCCTTCCCAGCCTCCCCCCTCCCCCCCACCCAATCATACTCCCCCCCCCCCTCCCGACATTGTAAAGCTGGTTTTGACATGACATTTTGTACTTCTCATTGTTGCAACAGGTCCACCTGAATCCTTAAACGACTTGTTTGTCCCCATCTCCTCCACATGTTATACTGACATCAAATATAGTGAAAGCAGGGGTTACACTGTGGGGGAGGGACATACAAAGCAACCAAGAAATAATCTTATAAATGCGTTAGAAACACATGCATGAAAGAAACAAAAACATTAAAATACATATTTGAGGGTTCGTTTTCCTAACATCACATTATCTGACTTTTTCCGCTTGACTCATACCTATACTAGATATTGCAAATAAGGGAAACCATGGGACCTATGTTTCTTTGGGCCTGGCTTACTTCACTTAATATAATTTTTTCCAAGCCTTTCCATTTCCTAACAAATGGGGCAATGTCATTCTTTCTGATGGAGGCATAGAATTCCATTGTGTATATATACCACATTTTCTTGATCCATTCATCTACTGAGGGGCATCTGGGTTGGTTCCATATCTTAGCTATGGTAAATAATACTGCAATAAACATAGTTGTGCTGGTAGCTTTAGTATGGTCTTGTTTGTGATCATTTAGGTAAATGCCCAAAAGTGGGATTGCTGGGTCATAGGGGAGCTCTATGTGAAGTCTTTTGAGGAACCTCCATACTGCTTTCCAAAGTGGTTGAACAAGTTTACATTCCCACCAACAATGAAGTAAGGTTCCTTTCTGTCCACATCCCCTCCAGCATCTGTTGTTGTTAGAGTTCTTGATTTTTGCTGTTCTAACTGGAGTGAGGTGATATCTCAATGTTGTTTTGAGTTGCATTTCTTTTATGGCTAGGGATGTTGAACATTTCTTCATGTGTCTATTGGCCATCCTTCTTTCTTCTTCAGAGAAGCTTCTCTTTAAGTCTTTCGCCCGCTTACTTATTGGGCAGTTGTTTCTTTGAGGATTTGTTGTTGGGGGGTTTAATGTTTTGAGTTCCAAGTATATTTTAGATATGAGACCCTTGTCCGTTGTATGGCTAGTAAAGATCTTCTCCCAGTCCGTGGGCTTTCTATTGATCTTGCTAGCTGTGTCATTTGCCCTGCAGAAGCTCTGCAATCTTATGCAATCCCATTTGTCCAACCTTTCTTTGATTTGTTGTGTTTCCGGGTCTCTATTCAGAAAATTTCGGCCTGACCCAAGGAGACCTAGGGTTTCTCCTATTCCATCCTGTAATGTTTTCAGAGTGTCTGCTTTGAGTTCAAGGTCTTTGATCCATTTGGAGTTGATTCTGGTGCAGGGTGATATATAAGGATCTAGCTTTAGTTTTCTACATGTAGTTAACCAGTTTTGCCAGCAAAGTGTGGGTCATTTATTGACCAGAGGAGTTTCCTTAAATAAATGATCTCATAGCATCTGTAATGTTAGAATAGGAGAATATTCAGACTGGTGACACTCATTCTAGAAGGCCAGTGCTAATTTTTTGATGGATCAGCTGAATGCTTATTTGTATTTGTCTGTTTTCTATTTTCAAAACAATTTAAAGATTACTAACATCTAGATGTTTCTTAGGAGAGGACTAAGTCTGGCAAAAATCAAAGAGCCTAATCACAAGTGTGTAGCTAATAAGGGAAACTGAGATATCAGCCTGGTGGAATTATTGCTCAAGATTCATGTGTCCAATGCATTACACCCTGTTTTCGGGACGTTCTTTGGTAATCATTTCTGGTTAAATGCCAACTTGATCATTGTTAGAATTTAGTACATTTTCTGGCATGAATGACAGTGGCAATCTTGTCAATGCAGCCACGTCTTCAGTTCAATATGGCTACTAGTGAAAACAAAACACATTTAATTTCTCAAGTGAGATTGACATTTAAATTTTTTATTATCTTTGAGTCATAGTACAAAGGAGTTGCCATTCAACAAGGCAGTTTCTAGATTCAGTGCATCTTGATCAGAGTCACCTCTTTGATCATTCTCCCCCATTTCTCTCAACCCCACTCCTTCCCTCAATTTTCTTAATTTATACATTGAATTTATGAGTTTATTCCCCCACTCACTGTCCTGATGTAATAGATATAAAAATAGATCTAATAAGATCATGAGAATAATTCAGAGGGGTCACTAATTTGATAATGACCTTCCTTGTTTATACGTGGAAGTTCTTGTGTCTGGAAATCAACTTGCAACAGCTAATTGGAAATTAATTATAATTCCTTGTGATGAGTCATTATAGAACATTTTTTAAAAAAAAATGAGTCTGAGAAACAAAGTAGCTATTTCTACTTGCTGAATTCCATAATCCATTTTAGTTCCATATCCAGACAACCCCAGGCAAAAAGACAGATTGTGAAATGGTACACTGTGGCTATTAGGACAGATTTGCCAAAAAAGAGGAGACAATGAGAAAGATCAGATTAGGACCATGTTGATTGGGAGTTTATTGCAATGAACAGTCTTCCAGTGATATTCCAGCATTTCAGACTGCTACCTCACGTGGGATGGAATTTGAATGTTGGTGTCTCCATGGAGAGATTTGATGTAGTGGCAGGGGCCTGGTGTTAGATCTTGCTGGCGTAATCTCTACACAGAGCAAGAAGTTCCTCAGTTAAAGCCCTTACTTTCTTCCTCCATTTGTGGATGCCTGCCATCTGTTTTCATCTGTTGGCAGTTTTGTGTGTCCTGCCTCTCCTTGAAGAGCCCTTTTGGATTAGGGTTCATTTGGTATCTTACCATCTCAACTCTGTGTTAATGTCAGGAAGTTACATTGCTGTGCTTCTGCTCTTGCCTTGGCTGGTGATTAAATATTGATAATGTAATTGATTTAGTGTGAAAGTCTTGTCTCCAGGAGTTAGAAATTTGCTCTGTATTTGTTCCATAGCACTTTAACGGAAACACGCACACACTGAGCACACACAGCACATTGACAAGTATATGTGCGTGCACACACACTCATATACACACATAGCTTCATGCATCCACCATATATAGATAGATAGATAGATAGATAGTCCTGGGGCTTGAACTCAGAGACCCATGTTCTCACTTAATTTTTTCCACTCAAGACTGGTACTCTATCTCTTAACCCACAGTTCCTCTTCCATTTTTTTTCCTGGTTATTTGAAGATGAAAAATCTCATGGTCTTTTCCACTCAGCCTGGCTTCAAACTTTAATCCTCAGTTCTCAGCCTCCTGAGTAGCTAGGATTACAGGCATGAGACACCAGTGCCTGGCCTATAATTTTCCTTTTTATGTCTGGAAACATCATTTCCTTCATGAATGTAACTTAGCCCAAGCTGTCTATGTTTCCCTGAGTAATCTCAGA